ACCCCCCCCCCTACAGCTGCCCCACCTGCCAGGGCTCTGGCCCTTTAAGAAAAAAAAAAGCTGAGAAAAGCCCTGGGACTCACCGCTCCTCATGCAGCCCGGGGGCTTCTGGGGCTCCTGCAGAGCCCCCACGTGGGTGGGGCAGTGGGGATCGCCCCCTGACGGCAGCAGCAGTGAGTCTTGGGGTTTCTTCAGGGTTTTTTTTCTTAAAGGGCCGGAGCTGGCCTATGCAGGGCACCTGTGAGGGGGCTGGGGGTTCGGGGGCTCATGCAGAGCACCCCACACAGCGGGGGGTAGCCGGGGGCAGCTGGGATTGCCCCCCCACCCAGCAGCACCTGCTGAGCAGGGGCTTTTTTTCCCCCTGAGTGCTGAGAACCTGGGCAGGCAGGTGGCCATTGCTGGGCTGGGAGAGGGGCGGGGGATGGGCCTGGCCTGGCCTGGGCTGGCTGATTTGGAGATTCGTCTGCTGCTGAATCTCTGAATCAGATTCGGCCGAATCGAATCAGGACAGTGATTCAAATCACCGAGTCGAATCATTTTCCCCCGAATCAGCCGAATCTGAAGCGAATGCCAACTGCTTCACACAGGCCTAATAAGCATCCAGTCACACCTTATAGGTTCACCTTCTTTGAAATAGAGCTAAATCACTGAGGAGAATTTGTTCAAGCTCCATCTTGGTGGATGGCAGATGTCCCTTTCCCGATGTGGCATAGGAGCAAAAGCCACTGCTGGGTGTTTCAGTGCTCAACGTTTTGCAGAGGTTCCAATAGGATCATTGCTGCCCCTGATTTTGCTTAACTGTGTTTGTTTAAGTCTTCAGGCTAAAGCAAATTTGCTTAAAATCTCAGCTTGTCAAACTCCTAGTGGGGAGTTGCTTTTTAAGGTTTTGGCTTTTTAAAACACTCTTCTTTCTTTGAGTTTGAATTTGAGGTAGGTGCGTGTTTGTAATTTATATATTTGTTTGTCTCCTCTTTTTTCTTTCCAGTTGAACCACATGCTCCATTGAATGTTGATATATGATTAGTTTGTGTGACATTTCATTTTGGTATATGAATTTATATTTTCTAGTCCTTTATGTGTGTTTGACAGAGGAATGGGGTGCATTCTCCACGGTGCCTTGAAGACCAAGCCATAGTCTGGGGAAAGACCAAGAGAGAGATTTTCCTCCCTGTACAGCGTTCAAAAAAATTGGCTCTGTTTCAAAGACTTCAAAAAATTTTGGCAGCTTCATAATGCCAGTATCATTACTGTGACTTTTATTTGCATTATCATAGCATGGAACAGCCTCAACAATTATGGCCCCACTGTGCTAACTCATTGTAATGGGTCATCCCTGTCCTGAGAGGCTTACACTCTACATGGACAAAAAAAGGGGTCATTGATTTTCTTTCCCTCCACGTTGCAGGTGGGAAGAGAGAAGCACAGAGGGATTAAGTGACTTGGCCAGGGTGGACTGAGAGCTCTGTGACACAGACAGAGACTGAACCAAGAACTTCCAAGTCTGAGGCCAGAATCTCTCACCAGAAGACCATTTCTGGCCTCTCTGATTGTCCTGTGGTTAGTCAAATCAGGGTGTGTCTAGACCGCGGCCACAGCAGTGGCTGCAGCTCAGGGTAAACACACCCAAGCCAGCTGTAAAGTCATCAGCTTGAGTATGGACAATGTAGCTGCAGCAGCAGAGAGCTCTCTGTGGGCTATCTGCCCAAGTACTTTGCTTCTTGGAGGCAGGTGCTGCAGCCCTTACTGGGCCCCATGCTGCTACAGATATGCTGCTATCAGTACCTGAGCTAGCTAGTTTTAAAGCTATCTAGGGTATGCCTACATCATACTTGGCATGGACCACAGTCTAAATACACCTTTAGAGGTCTTGTGTAGAATATATCTCTTATGAATGTAAATATTTACTGAAACGGCAACATTGCTACTTTAATGTTGTATATATTTCATTTCATTTTGTTTTTCTCTTCCTGATTGTGCCATGTAATTACCCAAAAGGCTCTGGTAGCTTTTTGTAAGAAGAAGGGTGTTTGACTTTGTGGTGTTTGAGTTTGTGGTTTTCCTTTTGCCCATGTAGAAAGAATCTTATGGTTTTCAGAATCTTCCTGTAGCGTTGTCCGACTTTCACCTCTCTTTCTACTTGCCAACTGCTGAGCTAGAAAACTGGTATGCCAAAAGACAAGCAGGAACTGAGGACTGGACTCAAATGACAATTC